CTAGTTTTCTTGAAGATTCAGGTTTAGATCTTTTGGCAGTTTTGTGGTGAGGGAAAAATCTTTGGTAAGATTTATTTTAGAATAAGGCTTATGTGATTTGGATTTTCTGTGTTTCTTATGGGAAGGAGCTAATGGCTGTAACCCATATTGTTCACAAAAATTACCTAATTCATATTTAGCCTTATGTTTTTCATTTGTTAATTGCTTATTGATTCTCAAATCGACACACCATTTTAATCCTACATTTTGGATGGTGCTAATGAGTTCTCCATAAGCAAGATTATCATATTCAATGATTCCTGTGTCTTTGCTAAGGGCTTCTCTAACCTTATGAGCAAAAAGATTAGGTAGTCCATTAACAAATTTTTCTTTCCAGAAAGCTTTTTGGCAGTCTGGGCGAACCATAACACGAGAAACAAAGACATCTTTATACCACCTAAAATCACTAAGTGTGGGACATTTTAGGTTGGTCAATTGGTCATGGATCCTAGCAGTTATGCTACTAGGAGTGCCAACAAAGTGTTTGACGATGGTGAATATAAGGGTATTACATCCATCAGGTCTAGCTGTTCCAATCCTTTCATCAAAGATTGGAAGGCCCTCATCATCTTTGAGAACAACATTAATGATACTGTCTCTTTGTTCCTGGTTTAAATAATTATCCCACCAATTTCTAAGAACACCTGTAAATCCTGAAACTATTAGTTTGACAATCTCAGGTTCAGGGCTATCTAGATTGGTCATATAATTATTTAATATCATGGATAGATGACTAATTTTATTAAGAATTTCTTGTTCACTTAGACCATCTATGTTCCATTCATAGAGTCTGTTAGACTGAACAGAAAATTGGTTTAGCACATTTTTTTCTTCATACTGAAGATCTGGTGGAGTAGGTCTAGAATACCAGTTCTTTGTGGAGCTGGTAGGGACTCTAACCAGTGCATTGATTTTAGAATCAGGTTGGGTCATACTGTGATCCTTAAACTGATTTTCTAGGTTTTTTATTTCAGAGTCAGAATCAGTGGTGTCTTCCGGACTACTGGATTCTACATTGAACTCTGAACTTTCTTCAGTTTGGTTGATGACTGTTATCTGAGAAGTACTGGTAGATTCCTTCTTAGATAAGAGTGCATCAATTTGTTGAATTAGGTTTTTATCCTTTAAACCTAAATTCTTCCTTTCTTCAGGGAGGTTAACTAGAGGTCTTTCTACTGAAGATGATTTAATTTCATCTATTTTAGTTTCAATTTTATCCAACTGTCTTCCTATAATAATCAGGCTTTGGTTGGTGTAATTGACCTGTTCAACTATCTTCTTTTCAGATTCTAAAACTGGAATCTTAAAGGGAGTAGCAGTAACAGTTTTGGTAGCATATTTAATTTCAATAGTTTCTACTGGGGGGTGACTAGAGGTTACCATAGCAGATTCTGTTTTCCAATTTTGCTGAGTTACTACTTTTACTTCTTTGTGGAAGTTTTTTAAGTAGTCTTCTAAAGCAATCTCAGATTCTAATTTATATATTAAAGAAATCCATTCTTTTTTTATTTTTTCTTGATTTTTACAAGGTAGAGATTCAAAAGCTTTCCTAAAAGGTTTGTTCTCAGGGTTTTGAAATTTTTTTTAACTTGTAAATATCAGGCATAAAAAATTCTTTTTCCCTAGTGATAGTGTATAATTGATGGATTTTGGTGGATCCTGTATTTCCATCAAAGGCACTAGCAGTGGGTGACAGAGAAGGTGAAGGAGTAATTCATCATTCTCTGTTTGTTTAAATTCTGTGTATCTAGACCTTAATGGTACACTTATGGGAGTGTATACTGGCCTAGCTACTGGGTCAAAGGAATTAGCGATTCCTTTTAACCTATGGTCAAGTTCTTTGGCAATTTCTCTGTCTCTATGGGAAACAGATGAGAAATCAGATTTCCTTCCTTCAGGAACCTGATCATGCCTGGGCGTGAACCTACTAGATCTACTGGATCTAGCAGTATCAAAAGATATTTTAACTGATCCATCTAGGAGTTCTCTGATAATCTCCAAATCAGTTGTAGTTGACTCAGTACTAGATTCTTTATCAAAATTTTCATTCTTCATGGTCCAAGATTCTGGTAAGGTCACATCTTTCCAAAGTATCTGCTTTGGAATTTGGATGTTGGTCTGTGCAAAACTGGCTTGTATCAACATAGTACTTCCCTTAGGACTTGGGTCAAGGCATTGTACATTAAGATTAGTACGAATACACTTGTAGTAAATCCTGTAAATAAGTACTATGGAACTAGTGTTTTTTACTAACCTGGTAATATCGCCTGTAAGACGAATACCAAGAGTTAGTGCCATGTGTGTGTTATGACAATGAAGGTCAAGGGTAAAGTCAGGGAAGCAGTTAAAGTAGACTGGACCTCTGTGGAGTCCTGTCTCCATGATTCCCAAGACACTTGGTTCCCAATCTAGAAACCTTGCATCTCTTAGTGCTAGTAAGGCAGCAGCATTTCTGCCTTGGGTGATAAGTGGTTTAATGGCCACTTGGACAAGACCTATGTGGATAAAATTAAATCCTTTAGTCTTGTGTTTCGTAAGAGTCTCCTTAGTGAGGAGCTCACAAAGCTCATCTTCTTTTCTGAGAGGATGAACTTGTTCAACAGTTTTAACTTGGTGTTCTTCACTAAAGGTTTTTTGAACCCAAGTTGTGCTATAAATATTTTTTTCTTTGACTGGAGGAATATTCCATTTTTTCCAGTCTGTTTTAGCTTCTTCTATTACTAATTCTTCCTCATTTACTCTATGTGGCATAGAATAATCTGAAGATCTAGATGTACTAGCTCTAGAATTAGATCTGAATAATCTACTCATTTTAAAATCTGAATTGTTGTCAAATTTTAAATTTATTTGTAAGTATGACCACACTATACATACCCTCTAATCTGGCTCCAAATTCTCTCAACTTCTCGCCTAAGATCCCTTTCTGCCAACTCTAGGACTTACACTTGGGACAAGAAAAGGCTTACGTGCTCTTGAGTGTCTGGATTAAGGTTGGGTGATAGGGTAAGATCTACTTACAAATGAATTTGAAAGATGAAACAGATAAAGATTTCAAAGTGAGTTAGATGACTCAAATGAAATTTTAGAGATAATACACCAGGCCGTCAAATGGCTCTGACCAAGGATGTATATATATATATATATATATATATATATATATATATATTCCTTAACATGGAACCAAGCAGGCAATCCAGTCACTCACATCAATTATCGAGCAGAAGAAGACCTAGTTCTTCAAAAACATAAGACGACAGTCATGGACGAAAAGTATGTCCATTCTTTCCCTAACAATGATGGTGCAATTGGTAATCACTATGTCTCCCTCTAGGTGCTTATGTGTTTTTTATGCGTTTGAAGATCTAGGCCGTTTTGATAACCATGTGTTTGTGTTTTTTTTTTGTTTTAATTTTTTTTTTTGGGTTGGTATGTTTTGTAAACGATCCCAAATTTTAAAAACATCAAAATAGGTGTTTTTAAAATCACAAAAAAAAACAGAAAAATGCACGCCACTTGGAACCATTTAATGAGGTCTAGCCCTCGAACTCCATTAGTGGCAAAAAAAATGTTTTTTTCTTTCCCACTATAAAAACATGTTTACCCCTTTTTGCCTCCTCTCTCTCCTTCATCTCTCAGGGTCACACTCTCTCGTTCATCTCTCTCACGAGGCTAGCAACGAAGGAGCTCTCAGATCTCAAGCCAACACTCCATCGGTGGTTGTGGCGGTGGTGGTGGGTTGTAGGTTTCGACGGTGGGGGTTGGATTGGGGGTGGGTTTCGGTGATTGTGGGGGGTGGGTTTCAGTGGTTGTGGTTTTAGTGGTGGTGGGGGTGAGTTTCGGTGGTTGTGCTGATGAGTTTCAGTGGTTGTGGTAATAGGTTTCAATGGTGGGATTTCGGTGGTGGTGGGGGTGGGGGTTGTGGGTTTCAATGGTGGGGTTTAGGGTGGGTTTTAGTGGTGGGGTTTGGTGGTGGTTTTGGGTAGTCAGTGGGTTTGGTGGTGGGGTTTGGTGATAGTTTTGGATAGTTAGTGGAGTTGGGTGGTGGAGTTTGGATGGTGAATTTTTGGTATAATACCAAATAGGTTTTTTATTTTTATTATATTTTAAACCCATCAAATATGCTTTATATTTTTAATTTTTATCACAAAAAAAAAAAATTTTAGTTCTATTTTTTTTAAATTAAAAAAAAACATATAAACGAAAACGTTATCAAATGCAATAGATGTTAAAGTCTGAGCATTGTATTAGAGGAGTCTGAACCATAGATATTGGGATCATAGATGCCCCTAGCGTCCCATGAGCACGGTTCACACGAATCGAAAAAAAGTGGGTACACGATCCAGATCACTCAAAGTCCTGACCCTAAATTATAAGTCTAACCACAAATTAATTCATGATATAAGTAATCTACATCATAACTCTAACTTGCTACTTCTTTATTTTGGTGTTCTTTAAAATAAATATTTATTAATTATGTGCATACCAATATATTATTCTATATAAATGTTACAAAACGAACCACGACTCAAAATAGTGTACCAATTAAGGCTACTCCCATTGTATTGTGTATCAGAACAAGTATTGTATCACGTACTAAATTGATCCATAATTCATGTAACGTTGGTCTGAACGGATTGTTTTAGATCTGGGCATAATTTTTATTATTCATCAAGACACAAGGAAACCTATGATATAAATTCATCTCATACTTTTTTTTCTGCCTTTCTCTTTCTTTGTATTTTTCAGAATTTTTTAAAAATATATTACGTATAATCAAGTTTCTATATAAAACAGTGATACGTAGCAAATGATGAACCTTTTTGAGTCTGTGCAGAAATTTCAAGGACACTGAGAGAGGTTCCACCAACTGATTACCTATTTCAAATCAAATCGTTCTCATTGCTTTCCAAGGCAAAAGATAAAAGATTTGAATCGAGTGACTTTGAATCAGGTGGTTACAAATGGTGAGTTGAAATAGAAATCCTTTCTTCTCACTTGTGGGAAGTCTTCTTGCTTTTTAAAATCCAAGATAAGTTTTCTCATTGTGTGCTTTTGCCTTGTTTGCAGGAAATTGAGTCTATATCCGAATGGATACGAAAAGGAAAATGGGAAAGGGCATATCTCTCTCTACTTGGCAATATCAGAGGCAGATACATTACCTCTTGGTTGGGAGGTTAATGTCAAATTCGAATTGTTTGTGTATGATCATATCCGAGACAAGTACTTGACACTCCAAAGTAAGATTTCTCAAAATGCACATTCTTGCACTCGTAGTAATAATAAGTCTGTTTAAGCGGTCAGAAAGAGTATAACATAAATTTTTTCTTTGCGTAACCGGCGTCTATCATGTATGTAGATGCTGATGGGAGACTAAGACATTTCCACAGGTTTAAGACGGAGTTCGGTTTTGCCAAATTACTTTCCATTGACACTTTCAAAGATGCTTCTAACGGATACCTTATTGATGACTCCTGTGTGTTTGGAGCCGAGGTTTATGTCATTAAATCTACTGGCAGAGGAGAGTGTCTTTCTTTGAAGGAGGAAACTTATGACAATAGTTACTCTTGGCAGATCAAAAAATTTTCAGAAATAAAAGAGGAGCGTTTGTTCTCTGAACCTTTCACCATTGGAGAGCACAAATGGTTTGAGACCTTGGAGTTCCTCACTTAATTCTTATTCTCTATGTACCATAACCAGATGGAATTGTTTCTTATATGCTGTTTTCTTTATTGATCTAGGAAGATACTTGTTTATCCCAAAGGACATAGTAGTGAAAAGGGCAAAAGCTTATCTGTCTTTCTATGTTTAGAAAATTGCGAATCCCTTCCAACCAATCAAAAATTGTATTCGGAATTTACCGTCTTGGTAAAAGACCAAGTCAATGGCAAACACTGCGAAATGGAAGGTGAACACTTGCCCTCCTTCTTTAACATATCACATATGTTCTTTTTACAGGGGAAACTGGTTTGTCAATATTTTCCTTTTAAAATTAGTTTGTTCACTTCCTCTAAAATTTCCTCGTAATTATTCTATCACAGGTTATCATTGGTTCTATGAGCCAAGTAAAGGCTGGGGTTTCCATCTAATTTCTCTTCCTGATCTGCATGACAAATCGAAGGGCTTCGTAGTACTAGATAGTCTGGTTGTTGAAGTGCAAATTCACGTGATGTCTAATGCGAAAGAGTTCTCCTCGAAATTGCCTGCTTTAGAAACACGTGATGTATAGGCCATGCTCCGAAAGCCAATGTTGTTCCTTCCTCTTGTTGAGTACCTTGCTAGTAACCATTTTCAAGCGATTCTAATTGTTACCTCATCTACCTGGAAAAAAGAAAAGTATATTGGAACCTCTTTTGCTAGATACTCTTTTAAGTTTTGCATTTGGTATTTCAATGATTTGGTTGGGCAAAAATTTATTCTGTTTTACTTTTTTAATGTAAATGTAATTAATAATTGTAGAACAAGGCATCTATAGCATAGAAAAAACCACTCATAGAAGGGTGAAAAGACGCCTAAAAACAGAGCTTACTATACCACCAAAAGAAGGAACATAAGAAATCAACACTCGCCAAAGAACTCGTCTGTTAAAAAATCTCGTGAGAATCAAGGATCATCAACTACTTATCCTCCGTTTGATAGGAAGAATGAAAAATATGAATGATACACTTTCTATCTTTTAAGAACGAAAGTAGAAATGATATACTACTTTTCTTTATATTTGGTATGATGGATATAAAGTAGAAATGATTAATTTTTTTATGTTTGGTATTAATAAAAAAAATAAAAGGATGAAAAAATATAACTACATAATATGTAATTAATAAATATGATATATAGATAAATAACATACATTTTAATACACATAATTAATTTTTTATCCCCTTTTCTCCCAATTTTAGAGAGATTGATTTTGGTAAATTAAAAGGAAAGTTAATTCATCCACTTTTTCATTCTTCCCATTTTTTTTTACCAAACATGATATTCTACCTATCTCTACATCTTTCCATCATTCCAATTTTTTATCTTGCCAAATGGAGCATTAATCTACATTGCCAACCCATTCAATTGGTGTTATATTTATTTCACTGAACTGATCACAAAGATGCACTCAAAATTGACTAATTTCATAGTAAAGTAACAAATAAAGAATTCATTCGTTTAGCGGGAGAATGATAGAAAATGTAATAAAGAGAAATATTTTAAAATTTTCATGTGTTTAGTTAGTATGCAAATGAAAATGATAGAAAAAATAAATTTCTTTCATGTTTGAATTTTCTCACAAATAACTAACTTTTTTTTCTTGTGAAAAACACAAGCATCCCCGTTTATTTTTTTTTTTAAAATCTTTCGAATTCTCTTTCTGATATCTTTAGGTGCTTGAGAAGTTCTTTATTTTGCCTTGTTTTTTATTTTCCTGTTCAATGACGTTTATTACTTATAGAAATAGTAAAGTAGATGTAGCAAAAAAATTATTTCTAATCATTTACAAAATCATTATGTCAACCTGACAAAGAAACATGTGGATTACAACCTGGACTCTTTGGTTACCTTTTTTACTGTTAAAAGAACACCCTACCCATGGTAATTCCAAAATGATCAAGTCTATCCCTTCTATTATATTCGAAAAGTAAAATGTATTAAAATAACTCAGATAAACAAAAGTAATCATCCATAATTTGTACAGTGAAGTCACGTAGGGATAGAAATGAATTTTGTTGTAGAAAGCATTCCTAAAGTGCCTTAACAAGAAGGTTGTTTTTGAGCTACGAAACGAGGTTGAAGAATTTGTTCCTCACCTTGTAATGCTAGGATTTGAGAATTGTACATGGAAAAGAAAAACAGTTTGTCATGTATCTATGATGTATAGGTATCATCATATTCCTTTTGGGACTTCTCAATATTTAACTTGGTAACGAAAAAATTTGATTTTCTTGTGCACTACTTGTTTGAGCATTTGGTTTTTTTTTAAATAACAGTCTTATTAAAATTATCTCTTCCCCAATTTGGCTGATAAATTATTTTTGACATTGTAAATATTAGAGAGAGGTGAGGAAGGATCACATATATGCAGTTATAAAGGTGTCATCAAGTTTGGTCCATATGCTAGATGCGCAACTGAAATGAAGACTCTGGAACTACTTGCTTTACCTAAGTTGGTCTAATGGGGTTCTTCTTATGAGTGGTATAACTGGGCCAATGGTCTATTTATAACATGCTTAGTTTTATGAAGTATGTTTATGAAATTTGTTTAAGTGCGCTCAACATTAGCTAAGTGTTAGGGTTAATAGAAGATTGTTTCCTTGTATTTCTTGTGGGTTTCAATGGTGGGGTTGAGGGTGGGTTTTAGTGGTGGGGTTTGGTGGTGGTTTTGGGTAGTCAGTGGGTTTGGTGGTGGGGTTTGGTGATAGTTTTGGATAGTTAGTGGAGTTGGGTGGTGGAGTTTAGATGGTGAATTTTTGGTATAATACCAAATAGGTTTTTTATTTTTATTATATTTTAAACCCATCAAATATGTTTTATATTTTTAATTTTTATCACAAAAAAAAAAAAATTAGTTCTATTTTTTTTAAATTAAAAAAAAACATATAAACGAAAACGTTATCAAATGCAATAGATGTTAAAGTCTGAGCATTGTATTAGAGGAGTCTGAACCATAGATATTGGGATCATAGATGCCCCTAGCGTCCCCTGAACAAGGTTCACACGAATCGAAAAAAAGTGGGTATACGATCCAGATCACTCAAAGTCCTGACCCTAAATTATAAGTCTAACCACAAATTAATTCATGATATAAGTAATCTACATCATAACTCTAACTTGCTACTTCTTTATTTTGGTGTTCTTTAAAATAAATATTTATTAATTATGTGCATACCAATATATTATTCTATATAAATGTTACAAAACGAACCACGACTCAAAATAGTGTACCAATTAAGGCTACTCCCACTGTATTGTGTATCAGAACAAGTATTGTATCACGTACTAAATTGATTCATAATTCATGTAACGTTGGTCTGAACGGATTGTTTTAGATCTGGGCATAATTTTTATTATTCATCAAGACACAAGGGAAACCTATGATATAAATTCATCTCATACTTTTTTTTCTGCCTTTCTCTTTCTTTGTATTTTTCAGAATTTTTTAAAAATATATTACCTATAATCAAGTTTCTATATAAAACAGTGATACGTAGCAAATGATGAACCTTTTTGAGTCTGTGCAGAAATTTCTAGGACACTGAGAGAGGTTCCACCAACTGATTACCTATTTCAAATCAAATCGTTCTCATTGCTTTCCAAGGCAAAAGATAAAAGATTTGAATCGAATGACTTTGAATCAGGTGGTTACTGATGGGACTCTTCTGAAAAGCCTATGATGAAGACACGTGTCTTCGGGGGTTTCTAGAACAATGTTGCTCGGGTTCAAGCACCATCGGCAAAAGCGTCCTCTCCCCCGAGGTACCTCTCATATAGGATCACATATTCGATGCATTATACGACGACACGTGTCCTCGGTCACCATGTACCTCGGAAACACACCACCCCTTGGTCCCCCGAGGTGAGCCTTTCCTCGGTGCCGAGGGTCACTCCATCCTGGACGCTTCCTCTACTCACGGATAAAGTTACTGACGTACGGGACATCAGCCTATGCCAGTCTAGACTATTCATCATGACCTCGTCTTACACAAGTAATGTCAGAACATGCTGGAATACAGAAGTCATAGCCAATACGTGACGGACGCGTGGCATATGATATCACATCAAAAACAGGCAAACCGCACGCTATTGCTGACATGCGCTTTGGGAAGCAAACAATTAATTGCACCCTTCTGTTGACGAGACCGCATTCAATGCGGTAAGGTTCGGATATGAAAGGCAATAAATGCTCCTATTACGGAGCATTTATTACATCCTTCCCGAAAGGAGCATATTGTACCGTCGGCGTCCCGACGACTCAACATTGATTGCTCGGGACCCCGAGCAGTCAATTAGAGAAGACATTCCTCGTCAAATCAATACACACGCTACCAGTGCCTGATGATCACCTACTGACCACACTGACAGCAATCATGAGCTTCTAAGGTATAAATACCCCTCCCAAAAAGGCAAAGCGGGAGGCAATCACAAACTCACTACTACAAAATATCCTTATCAGTGTTTTCTCCTTCCTCTCTCTCATTCAAAGACTGACTAGACCGTCGGAGGGGATACGCCGAAAAACACTCCGGCGCCCTTCTAACTCGTTCTCCTTTGTTCCAGGAAATACATTTCGCACGTACAGGATCGTTCTTCCTTTCCCAGGATCTTCTTTTGCCGTTCCAGGTTGCCACCGTTCCTTGTAGGCTGTTCCGAGCAGTGTGTTTGGCCACTCAACCGGCTCACCCAAAGTTCACCAGGGGAGAGATCTGTTCCCAATATTTTATATATCGTGCAGGATCAAGCCCGCACAATCTGGCGCCGTCTGTGGGAAAACGAGTAGTTTTCCTAATCTTTTCTCTATAAAAGAACAGTGACCATGGTGAACACCAGACAGAAAGGGAAAGGACCCTACCAAAGGAGTCATGAGTTGCAAGCTCCCTGCCATCACGGGGGGAGGGATCGGACCAGTACGATCAAAAGTGCCTCTACTCGGTCAAGGGGAGTAACCCCCCAAACCAGTATGGGGATCA